TCCTCCAAGCTGGCCGCTGAACAATGGGGCCGGAGGGTGTTTTCTATTATTGTTCTTTTGTTTGCACGTTTGAAAAGCGGCCTTAGTTACTGCCATCACCAGCAGCTGCCTTCAGCAAAATAGCTGGATTGCCCCAGCCCTCGCTTGGCACGCGGGGTCCGGCTGCAGGAACGGCGAGGCCAGCCCGGCACCAGCCCCGGAGCCACCGTCCACCCTGTCAGGCCAAACGGGCCACTTACACTGCGAGGAGGAGCAGCTCTCGGAGGTGGCTCACGCCATCTGCTTCCTCCCGTACGATGACCTGGGAGCGTCGAATCCACGGGGAGGCTGCTGTAGGGTTCCCAGGAGAGCCGTGTGGTCCGTGTTCTTCTTGAAGGTCCATTCACACTGGGTTTGGCAGCGGGCACGGCTGCCCAGCATGCTCAGGGCTCTCCGTCCCGGTGTGCTGCCCAGTAGCCGACCCCAGGGCAGGCAGGCAGCGCTCCCCTGGTCCCAGGGCGCTTTGGAACCAAAACCCACCTCCACATTCTGGAATAAGGGATAGACAAGTTAATCAACTGCACAGTTGCTTTTTTTTAACAATACCTTCACTCTGCAAACAGGGAAGCTGTGTTTTTCTGCCGTAGGCAGAGCATTTATGTAGTATGTAAACCCTCTCGATTTTTGCATCAAAGGCGAAACTTACTCCTTCGGCATCACCCCCGGGGCTGCTGGCGCAGCGTTGGGCTGGGGAGCAGGTGCTGCTCACGGGCTGGGTGAGGATGCAGCTGGGGAGGCCGCGTGTGGCACAAAAGGCAGCGGCTGCCCCATTGGTGCTAGTGAGAACGGTTGGAGAAACCCCTCGTTTCCTTCCAGTCCTGCATTTTCCCAGGCCCTGCTGGGAATTCATCTGGGATTCCAGTTAGCGGAACTGCTGGCAGGGGGGAGGGAGAGCCAGTGCCAGCTCCCCAGCAGCGCTTTTCCTGGCTGGAAGGGTTGGTTTCGTTTTTGTGCTCAGCTCAGCAGCTGCTGGGAGGGGCTTTGTCTTTGCCGGAAGCGATTTCAGTTGCTCTTCATCACAAGAGGAGCCCAAATTCCCTCCTCCGAGGCACTCGGGGTGTTGATGTTCAGCATAGCGTGAAGAAATCGCAATCTTAAGGTGAGAGACCGTCTCCTTGCAGACTTCACTCAGAACCAGCGTTTCCTTTGGGGACGGAGGATCCGTGGACAGACTTAAATCCCTTTGCAGTCTTTTTTTATTCAGATGAAGCGATGAGATTGCAGCAGCTGTCACGACCTGCTGGGACTTTGGTTTCCTGTTGTTTTTTTCTGCCTGGGCCGTAATTTTGTGGCCTCTCGTGGTGCCTGTGAAACTGCAGCTGCTGCCACGTGACGGGTAAAACTTCCCCTTCCTGGTTGCTGGCGGCCCGCGGGCCGCTGAGGCCGGAGCGGCACCTTCAGCTCCTCGGGACGGACGGAGCCAGGACAGGGCGCGGGTGACCAGCCGGGGTGGCTGTGAGCCAAGCGGGGTAGCTGAGGTTAGGGGACACAGGGGGTAGATGTTCCTTGCGCCTGCTCCTCCCAGTACAGGCGCTGAACGTTGCGTGCTTGTGTGATGGGAACCCGCGGTCTCGTGGGGCTGCTGGCCTGCAAAATATTTTTCTTCTTGTATTTCAGAACAGAAGCTTCTCAAAGAAGAGTCACACATTCCTGCCTAAAATATTTAGAAAAATGTCTACTCAATCAGCAAAAGAAAGACCTGAAAGCTTGCAGTTCCCTTTCCTTGACGATGAAGATACCATCTCCACAGTCAAAGAATCTAAAACCTTCTTTATTTTAAGAGGCCTGCCTGGCAGTGGGAAGTCCACTCTTGCCCAGGCGATTCAAGATAGGTATAAAGATGCCTGCAAGGTCATCTCTGTTGATAGCTATAAAATTACACCTTTAATTAGAAGCACCATTCCTGAAGAGTATTCAAAGGTGGATGAGGATCTAGTTGACTATTGCAAACGAGATATCAGCGTTATCGTTTTGGATGACACTCACCACGAGAGGGAACGACTGGACCAACTCTTTGATATTGCTGACAAATACCGGTACAAAGTCATCTTTGCTGAGCCCAAAACCCAGTGGCGAATGGATTGCTCGCAGCTGAAGGACAAGAATCAATGGAAACTGTCAGTGGAAGAGCTGAAGAAGATGAAGCCGAGCTTGGAGAAGGAATTCCTACCCATGTATTTTGGGTGGTTTTTGAGCAAAAGAAGCTCGGAGATCCTGAGGAAGGCTGGCCAGGCCTTCTTAGATGAGCTTGGAAGTCTCAAAGCCTTCAAAAAGGAGAGTAAATACTGTATGTATGCAAGTATCTTACCAAGTTCTTACTCTGTTGATGGAATGTTAACACTCAGCAAGCGGAGCAGGTTTGGTCAGCTTCTAAAGTGAATTTCTAGTTAGGGTTAGCAACAAGGAAATCTGTTTAAAGCTACTAATCCGTTTCCCATAGTTGACAAAGTTGCTGTTGAGAGTAAAAATAAATGAAACTCTTTCTCCCAAGAAGTCTGTCTAGCTGTGACAGACTATAGAGAACTGGGCTCCGATGGCAGCAGCGTCACATCTGGCTGCTGCTGTGAGTCAGAGAAAAGGGCAAGACTTGAACAATCTTGTCCCGTAAGGGATTCTTACAATGTCAGGGTTAAGATGAGCCACGATGCCGCGCGGAAGCTGCAGTTTTCTAGTTGCGTCTGCTGTTAGCCTAGGTGGAAGGAGGCGTTTTATTTACCCATCTGGTCCTTTTCTGCAGTGAGAAAGATGAAACATGAAGGACAGGTTGGTGAAGAAAGCTGAGATGGGATTTAGGCTCATGGGGTGACATCAGGGGACCATTTTTTGATGGTAATGTTGTTTACCTGTATTTGCAGTTGCCTCCGCTATCGAAGATCCCAAAATAAAAATAGATCTCACCAGCTACTTCGTGAAGAGGCCGCCTGGAGTCTTACACTGCACCACAAAATACACCGAGTTTGGAAAAGCAGCGGGAGCCGAGGAATACGCACAGCAGGAAGTGAGTACTGGGCTCCGACTCTTCCCCACACCCCGTCACCCTCCCAGCAGCAGCTCCACGAGGCTCTGGGGGGGACCGTAGGGACAGTCAGTACATCCACGTGGTTTGTGCAATAGAAAAGTCGTAATTGTGGGAGAGATGGTGACTGTTTCCTGTTAGTTTCCAAACAAAGTTCTCCTGCCCCATCCCATCACCCCTGACTTCCAGCATCATCTCTAACAGCTTGATTTGAATGACAATGAATTAAGGTATTTACACTTCCAGCTAAATTATTTCAAAACAGATAAGCCCAAGTTAAATATCGGAATTTCCAGAGGAAAAAGGTGTAACCAGCTCCAAATTCATGGAGCAGGAACTTCAGGCCATGACCCAGTTGGACACAGTATTGCGAATATGTCAAAGCAAGAGCTCCCACGACCAGCCCAGACATCGAGCTCGTGGGCAATAAAGCCAGCCCCGCTGCTGTAACTCCCACCTGCCTGCACGCAGGTAAAACTCTGTTCTGACTTCTCTCCCTCTTCACCCAGGCTGTGAAGGCTTCCTACGGCAAAGGCTTCACCTTGTCCGTTTCCGCTCTGTTCATCACAACAAAAACTGTCGGTGCTCGCGTAGAGCTGAACGAGCAGCAGCTGCTGCTGTGGCCAGGGGACGCCGATAAGATCCTGCCGACTGACAACCTCCCAAAAGGCAGCCGGGCTCACATCACCCTCGGCTGCGCCAACGGTGTCGAAGCCGTCCAAACTGGGCTCGATCTGCTGGAGTTCGTGAAACTGGAGAAGGCAGGGAACAAAGGGGATGAAGTGGGAGAAATTGGAGGAGGGAAACTGCTGTATTTTGATAACGGTATGTGGATGCTCAACCTTTCTAAAAAGATGGATGTGAAGGCAATATTCTCAGGTTACTATGGAAAAGGAAAACTTGTGCCAACGCAGAGCACCAACAAGCGGGGCTCTGCTTTTAGTTCCTGCACCATCATCTAGGAGCATGGGCAGGGTAGCTCGTTTGTTTGGTTTTAAAAGGCAAGTAACTCCTGTAACCTTTAAAAGTGTAAAGAGAAATAATTTTACCTTTACTAAAGTAAGCCCTTTTGCCAACCCCAGTGTGATGCCTCTCTGGGGAGAGTTTATTGGCCTCAGAACAAGGAAGAAAATGACCAACTCCTGACTGACAAAGGAAAACTGTCACATAACTGATGAGCTGCTGAGTGTATTTTGAGTTTTGGAGAGAACTAGGCATGGTGTTCTGCTCGTTTTCTTCCTCAGAGGAAGATCAGCTATGGTCTTTTAGAACTTCCCCATGAACCACAATCGTTAGACCCTTACCTTCAGGACTATAAGCAGTGGCAGACCAAAGCCTGTTTGTAACTGGTCTGAAGCCAAGCGAACCGCGTAGTGTCCCTCCCCTCCTCCCACACCCAGGGACTGACATCAGTCCGTCTGGTACCCGAATTACTGGGTAAAACCAGCAAGACCCACTCGTGGGTTGCCGCTGTTGCGTGACAGTTACTAATGGTTTAGCCCACGAGAAGAGAACTTGCAGAGGGCAGCGGGGTCAGAGGCAGCTCCTGCAGCTGCGCTCATCCCGATTCACGTTCGCTGTTTGCCCGTGAACCCTGGGGAGCGGAGCGAAGGGAAGCACGCTGCCAGATAACGTCTTACAGAGCTGTCACAGACTTCACGGGGAAACCCGTGAACCACCAGGAGAGGCATTGCGTTCCTGCAGCTTGGCCTTCGGTGCCAGAGGGGGCTGGACCACGTGCTGTCCACGTCCTTGTCCTGTAGGGAACAATCCTGCCTCGGCGGGGAGTGGAAGAGATGAACTAACATCTTTTCCATCTTATTTTATAGAAACTAAAATCGTGTCTGAAGTATAGCACTGTACTTCATGCAAGATTTTACTACTTTTCTCTAATGCACTTGAATGTTAAAAGTTAGGCTGGCAGTAACATTGTAATTTAAGAAGTAAGTGGAGGTATTGTAACTGTGTAACTTAAGTCTGCTCAAACCTAAACCATTGGCTGGAAAAACTGTTAATAATCAAGAACTTCTGTTATTAAGTCTGTTTTATTGACACTGGTGTTTTTGCTCTTAGCCAGGCGGTTTGCCAGTGGGGCAGTGGGTATGTGGTCACTACTTTACTGTAACACAAAGCTCAACTAATGGATTCAGGTCAGGACAGCGTAAGCTCATGCTACGGCTCAGTCTTTGGTGAACTGCATAGTGAAATTAATCCCGTATTAATACATGTAAATACTTACTGTGTTTGACAAGCGCGTGCTGGGCTCGTGTCTGTAAAGGAGCTGTTGTGTGGGCACGGCTTACCTGGAGCTGGGTGTGCGCTGAAATGTTGCTGGGGAAGCCCAATGGTGCCTGTGCAGAAGCATTTCTCCTCTGAGTGTTGATAAGAAAAGCAAGGAGTGCTTCAGGGATAATCTGGTAAACACCCAGCAGGTTTATCAATAAAACAAA